AGAGAAAATAGTTACGAGGTAGCAGTTTATTTTACTAAATAAGCCACAAGATATAGGTTACAGATGAGATTTAACTGTTCCTCACATTAGAACACGTGAATATATATGTTAGTCTATAGTTCTTCATAGTTCATTTTGTTAAATAGGTTGATAACTTATATTCAGCGTCTCCTACATCATTAACTAATAAATCAACGTAAATGAAATTTTTAGAATACTTAATTTGTGACATCGCCACTAATTTGAAATGGACAGAAATAGTGTTGTATCAGAAAGCGGGAAGTGCATAGCTACACAATAATATTGTTGTTATTACTTATTATTGTATTTGATGTGGCTTGAGTTGCGTGTCTTCTTTCTAAGTCTTTAATTAATAACGATAAGCCTACACCAGTTAAAATAATCTTAATTAAGAGTTTTGGTGGGGATTTTGTTTGAGGGAGAAAAAAGTGAGCTTGTCCTAAGCGGGGGTGGTTGAAGTCTTGGGGTGTTTGGTTGCATTGTTTTTGAGAAATGTTTTCTCAAAAGTACTGACGCATGGCATTTATGTAATTAAGAGTTTTCTATACATTTCTATAAACTGTGTTTGGCTCCAAAAAATTTTACAGAAATGTTTTCTGTAAAGTACAGAAAAGTACCAAATTTTATGGAAATTGATTTCCTTCTAAAATGGGAGGAAATCTCTTGGAAATCTGACGCATTCATTATTTAAATAATAAAACTCATTAACACTTTTCTATAAAGGTTGGTCAAAGTGGCTTATAAGGGGGTGTTTGGTTACATTTCTATAAATTATAGGAAATGTTTTCCATACCAAATTTGATTTCCTTGTATTTCTTAAAAAAATTATAGGAAAAGTTTTGAGAAGTTAAAAAGTACAAATTTTTTTATTTTTTGTATTGTGCTTGTTTGGTTCAAAACAAGAAAATGAGAAATAACTTTTGGAAAAATAACAATATTTCCTATAATTTATAGAAATGTAACCAAACACCACCAACTTTATAGAAAAGTGAGAACTTTGTAGAAAAGAGTTAATGAGTTTTATTATTTAAATAATGAATGCGTCAGATTTCCAAGAGATTTTTTCCCATTTTAGAGGAAATCAATTTCCATAAAATTTGGTACTTTTGGGCACTTTACAGAAAACATTTCTGTAAATTTTTTTGGAGCCAAACACAGTTTATAGAAATGTATAGAAAACTCTTAATTACATAAATGCCATGCGTCAGTACTTTTGAGAAAATATTTCTCAAAAACAATGCAACCAAACACCCCCTAAGCCGCTTTTGTGGCTCAAGTGGCTTATAAGCCACCGGGACATGTTTGGTAAACAGCTTATTTTGACTTATAAGCCACGAGAAATAAGCTGGGTTGCCCCCAGCTTATTATTTTTTTGACTTATAAGCCACAAAGTTTGACCGAGTAAATGACAACTTAACCCCTTCAATGATTAAGAAAATTCAAAAGCTCTCTTTCTCTATCTCCAACCCATTTTTGGTCATTTTGAGGACGAGGATGGATTATAAGCCACCCATTTGCCAAACACTCTACTATTGGAAATGGATTATAATCCACTGAATTTACAAAACAATTTGGATTATATCTTCTTGACTTAATAAGCTATTTGTGGATTATAAGCTAAGTGGACTATAATCCAATGTTGCCAAACATGCTCGTAATAGAGCACTAGGTTTTCGCCATGTTCCTTGCTGATTTAATGAGCATGAATGACACGCCCAATAATGTAGATTATCCATCATCCTTGCAGATGATTCTAGCTTCGCATCTCAAGCATGTGTCTGCTTAGCGCATAGGTGTTAAAATTTTATGTTTTAAGTTGAATGTGTCGCAAGTAAAGTACATAAATAAGAAGCTTTACCCAGATCACTGAGATTTTTTTGTCAGACCCAGTCAATCCATTATTATGAGTTCTCACTATGTTAGTCGGTGTAAATCGGCTCTTCAGCCCTAATAAGAAAGCTGGTCTATGTCACGCCTTGGACCTACGGGCTCGTTGGCGCGAAGCAAGCCGTGGGACCCACCGAGTGTAACACATTGTTTGGCTCAACTCACCATCAAAATCAACTCACTGATGTTACACTTGAGTCTTAGGCTTCATTATATAAAGACCTAAATTTTTCACTCCCGCCAATGTGGGACTAAACTAGGCCGTCACACTCACCCCACCTTACATATGTGACGTCCTTGTTGCGATTGACAATTGGCAATATCCCAATATCACCAAACAATGTGGACTCTAGATGTGGCTTTTACGAGCGCTAGAGGTGGTTCCCACCACGCTCACGTAGTGTAGCACTTAGCCCCGTATAACACTTAGCTTCACAATTCCAACTAACAACTGCTTTGATACAATTTGTCACGCCCCAGGCCCGTTTAACACGTGTAAGCCATAGGGCCCACTAAGTGTAACGCGTTGTTTGGCTCAAATCACCACTAAAATCGACTAGCAATGTTACACCTAAGTCTTGGACTTACCTATTTAAGCCACTTTAACTTTTCACTCATTTCCCGATGTGGGACTATATGGGGGTCTGTCAATCACCCTACCTTACAAAGGCGACATCCTCGTCGCGATAAGACAATTGGTTCGTTACAGTATCACCAGACGATGTGGACTCTAGATGTGGCTTCTACGAGCTCTAGAGGTGACTCCCACCGCGCTCACATGATGTAATACTTAGCCCCGCATAGCACTTAGTTATACACTTCTGGCTGGCAATTACTTTGATACCATTTATCACGCCCCGGATCTCTCCAGGCCTGCGTCCTGTTGGCGGGGTGTAAGTTATGGGACCCACCGAGTGTAACACGTTGTTTGGCTCAATCCTCCGCTAAAATCGACTGGTTGATGTTACACCTGTTACACTTGAATCTTAGGCTTTACTATATAAACACCTTAATTTTTTAAATTTTCACTCTCTCATCGATGTGGGACTAAACTAGGGACGTCACTTGGCCAATAACGTAACCATGATTTTTTAAATGGCTGCATCCACTTCTATTGAAAGTATCTTGCTTATAATTTTTTAATACTATCTATATACAGAGCATTAATACAATTAGAACATCAAAAAATAAAATTTAAACTATAGGATAAAAAGATATTTCAAGAACAATAAGGATCTCAAAGGAACTACATCTATCCGAATGGAATAAAAGAAGATACATCCAAATGTCTCAAACATATGCCACAAGCGGCTGAAAAACATGTCTAACATGTAATACCTAATCTAGAGAGAAAGATATGAACTCTATCAAGCAGGACTGTGATCACTGTCTCTGAGTCTGCTCTTGGAAGTACTCTCAGTCCTGGTGAGTAAGATCCCCCTGTCTGGGGTAAACAACCCTAGGGGAGTCAGAAAACTCCTAACAAGCGTGTAAAATGAAGGATAAATACATGTGCAAGTGTGTGAGTTATAATACATTTAACCTATATGGGAGTTATAATACATATAGATTAATAATATAACATTATCTAAAATTTCTACTAATAGATAGAAACGTATAGGAAAACATGCTTGTACTTCAGAATACAATAAAATAAAAACGTAATTAAACTAAAAAACATTATCTACAACATTTAAGTCCTTCACTGTCACAATCACACATGCAAAATATTTTTAATTTTAGGTTATTTGAATTAGAGGTGTGGACTTTCATGTATATAAGGTGGCTCCCCGTAGGCCTCCGATACGAGGCAACATGATAAAAATAGTTACGGCACTTGGCCTTCTTAAACATGATCCTGAAACATGAATATCCAGATAACAGCAGTACCGCTTATACACAGTCTAGTCTCGATTCTCCAACTCCCCATTAATTAAACGTGATCAAGAACATGTACAAGTCAGTCATCCATGAGACATATAGTCACTGCCAGAAGGTCATGCTTACAACCCACATCTTAATGGGATATGTATTCGTGCAATACCACTACGTGACCAAGCAAGAGTTCTGATTTTATGCATATATTAATTACAATCATCATCAAGAACAATAACAATCACAACACAAGCTTACCATATACTAGGTTCTCAAATAAATCTGTTAACATATTCAAAAATAAACTTGAGTTCTTGGGTTTGGTACGAATTCGATCTAGATTGGTTTAGGTCTGACTTGGGTTCAGTTCCAGTATCATCGGACTGGTTCCAGCCCAAGACTGGGTCTGATTTAGACTGGACTGATCCAAACTGGGTTTGGCTCTGGTCTCAAGACTCTCAACTGGTCCAGACTGGCCTGGTCTGATTCCGACTGGATTCTGGTCTGGTTTGATCAGAACTGGGTTCTGGTCTGGCTTGGTCTGCACTGAACCAGAGCTGGCTTTACAGATTTTGGACTGAGTTGAACCAGACTGGGTCTGGTCTGATCCATGCTGGTCTGGGATGTTCAATCATGTTCTGATGTTCAATGAAGTTGGATGGAGCTGTGAGATCATAAACATATGTTTTGACAAGGGAAAAGATGTAAATGCTGCTGCTGATTGCTTGGTCATTGAGGCCAACAACTAATTTTATAATGAACTAAGTGGACAGTTTGGTCAAAGGGAGTCTGAGTTACTTTCTTGAACTGAATTAGAGAGAAAATCAGTCTGATTTGTTAGAATATCATTATAGCAGTATATCATGCTTGACTATAACACGCATTGTTGGACCCTCTCCAGTTAGGTGCTAATTGGAGAGGATCTGAATCCATATTTGATTATGGTGTATCATTATTAGGAGTATATCATCTCTTGATTATAGCATGTGTTATCCTTGGTCATAGCACATGTGGCATTGATTATAGCGAAGATGTTTGATTGTACAACATTCTTCATTTTTAATTTGGTGTCATAGCATGGTTTTGCATCTAGAAAACCTCTATTAGCTAAAGGTTGGTACTTTTGAAGGAGAGGGGGCCGCTTGGGTGGGGAGGGGGGTGGGGGTGTTGAGGGTGCAGTTTTCCACCACATTTATTCGTTCTCCATCTCTTGTCACCCTCCACCTAGTCATTGACACCCTTTAAAAGGTCTGTTATCTTATATTCAGTACTCCGGCTCTATCTGTTACCGGCATCTTTACAAGGACTTGCTCGTTATGATCACCACCTTGACCACTGAGATTTTCTCCGCGACTAGTTTCCTATTCTGATGGTTATGACATCGATTATCGAGATTTTCTTTGCATGAGATTCTTCTCTCTGCGGTCATGACATCAACTATTGAGTCCTTCTAAATCAATATCCTGGGATTCCTATCCCTCACCATCGATCTAATCATTACTGAAATTTCTCTACTTATGAGACCTGTGCCCCTACCCTTTGTCGTCCAATCTCATTGCTATTTGCTCTGTTCTTCTCTGTCGATATTGATCATTCGCTGTCTATACCATCAACTCTGGAACTTTCATGATGACTCGAGACCGGATTGCTGACATCTTCACGATGTCCTGTCATTCTGAATGTTTTTGAGTTCCTCATTTCTAAACTCAAACTTATTCAACCATCTTGAGTTTGGGTGGTTAATGAGAATGCTATTATTAGTGTTATATTATGGCTTGACTACAACACGTGTTGATAATCAACAATATATGACTTGCATCATCCCATGATTATACCACATGTTAATCCTTGATTGTAGCATGCATAGTTTGATTATGACACACATTCTTCATTGTAATCCTAATATAAGTTGATGTTCATTGTATGGAATAAGATCAAGAAATGTTACTAGAACACACTTCATTTTTAGTACTGACATCAAAAAGTTAAGTTAAAGTTGGGCATAAATTTGAATTTACACCTAGACAAATAGATTTAACGTTGTGCAGGATCGGGATTTTAATAAAAAATACAAAGTGAGGCCTCCATGCCTTTCATGGGAGATTGAGCAGAAGTAAGATTCTAGCTAAATGTAAAAGAAAATGCAAGAGACGTGATTATATACATTATTCAGCCAACTTACCTACATTGACACATCCACCATCTTTTCATAATCCAATGCTTACATTGAGTACTTTGCCATCTATTAAATCCCCATAATGGTGGGGGGGAAATTATTGTGAAATGATCATCCTTGGTAGTAAGCATGTTTTCTTTTCCTAATGTCAGAAAAGGTCTTGTTTCTCTCAATACTCCTCTCTCTTTTATTTTTCTTTCATTTTCCATAAATAAACTATGTTCTTTGCTGATGCTAACATGATCTACTTTCATCTGTATTCCCGCCATTTTCAGATGCTATCAATGAGGAATTCTCCAAATTTGCATCCCATGTGTCTTTCTGGGGCTCTACATCCTTCGCAAGTTTCCCAGTTGTGCATGAGTTTTGGAGACAACACATCAACGATGAACTTGGGTGTATTTGGAACGCTGCCTCTTAATCCAGACTCCTCTGCTAACAGCTCGTTTGATTTAAAAAGTCAATGCACAACCTCGAATCAAACTGTAATGATCCCTGCAACAAGCATCTCTGCCTCACAAAGTTCATTTGGGATAGAGTCTTCACGTTCTCAGCATCCCTCGTTTCAATTTGGAGTACCCGAGGAGGTAATGCACTGTTGTATTAGATTATAAATAATGTTAAAAGGATTACAAATCATATTTAACAGATAAAAAATGTTGACACTGCAATAACCTATTTTTCTTCTATCTTTTATGAAGGAAATATTTACAGCAGACCTGGTACCGCGAGAACAGTTAGATTCAGGAAGAACTGCAGGAAACCTGTCAGGTTGCTAATAATATCTTCTATAAGTATATGAAATATTTGTTTGTTATCTATGTCATGCTTGTCTGAATTTAAGTGCCGTGGTTTGAAAAGAAAATGTGATCAAAGCTGTGAACATCGCTAGTTCTTTAAATTTCGGAAGGCGGGGATCATCGTCTCTGGAACACCATGACCATTTCACGAATGTGGTCTCGAAGAATCAAGCGGTTACCCCTATCTTTACTCAGGATTTTGACGGGTAGAGTCTCAGCAGTCAGTATTTCTTACTGTGTATTTTGCAAGACTTTTACAAGTATCCACTGATTATTATTGTCTTCTTGCTTCTCTTATGTCATCCAGCCTACAGGCGGGTGCAAGTTTTCGCGAAGATGATATCAAGTCAGGCTAGGCATCTAATGCTCGGACTTCAATCTTGAGCTGGCGATAAATTTTATTGACCTTTTTAATTTAATCGGGAGCACTTTGACATGTAAAGAAAAACTACTAAATTTTTGTAACGTGTAACTAAAGTTTGTTTGAAGGGTGAACTTCTTTGATATTCAGAAGGTCAATTTCAGAAGTTTCTTCCTAAAAGTTCCAGTCAATTGTAAATTTCTAAAGTTAAACTGAAAGGGAGCTTTCAACTCTCAAAAGTTTTCTGTGACGTTGGGAGCAAGGGATCATAAATGCTCATCTTATCAATATTTGGGTTAATTTCAACGCTCAGCAGCTCAAATTGTCAGAGTTTGCAAAGAAAGCATAACAGAGAACATGAAAAGAGCAGAGGAGAATATATTAAAGCAATTTCTATTCCCACTAGAGGACTATTATCGCATATAACCTGCTCGTCGAAATACGATACCAAAGCGTTAGATGAGTTATCCCTTTATTTTCATCTTCTAACTCTAAACACCGCATAATTTGGTCTTGGCGCGACCTCAAAAAAACTCCTAAGAAAATCTCTTTTATTTTCCAACTCGACAAATAATTTCAAAAATGGCAAATTGCATAAGAAGCAATAACTATCTGGTGCTTTATGCGAATAATCACGTAAGAACTATCACAACCTTGCGACGAGCTATCAATATGCATGATCTCTCCAAAATTGTCATTGTACGTTTTTTTCATACGCTTTTTCGTACATTTTTATTAGTACAGTACAGAAAATAGACCTCCAAACTTCAAAGGCCTGTGTGCATTATTACAGCAAGCGACAACATCTCTCTTAAATAATTATCATACAATTTTTCTATCAATGATCATAAATGCAAGTGAAACAAAACTGAAGGTTCGATCAGAGAAAACATCTTATGCACACCGATTGAACTCAAAATTTTCCATCACAAGCTGTCCTTCCAGGTATAAATAAAACCTCTCAACGGCAGAAGTAGATGAATTGTACTCTTTTTTCTTATCCCTCTTCACATTCTTTAAGGTATGCATTAACACCAGGATCATAAGTTGCTGCTATTTTCAAGTATTTGGCAGCTTCCAACTTCTCACCATCTCCGAAAAGGGTGCTGAGGAATAAATTAACCCAGTTCAGATTGCTAACTATCTAGTACAGAGAATTTGACAAATATTAAAGAGCTTCTTTCGATATTGGCCCCTTAAATATTTAATTTTTAGAAATTAGCCCTCATGTCATGGGAATTGCTATATACTCCCTCAAATCTTATTAGTTATTTCAAATTAGTCCCCGTAGTAAGATATCTTTTGATTTGGGGGAAATAAATTCCATATAATTTAACTCTTTGTTATACCCCTCTGTTTTAGTTATTCCACAACCCAAAAATATTTCTTTAAATGTTTGAACCCCAGAACAGATTTTCCAAACTTGCCCAACCTTGTTTCTTTAAACCCATTTCTTTACACTTCTAGGGTTTTTTTTAGGAGAACTAATTTATGGTAGACAAGTAATTCCTTGTCTGTGTTTAACTGCTTCAACTTGAGTTAGCGATTAGACGGACAACTAAAAGAGAGCTCCATTTGAAACAACTAATAAAATTTGAGTGACTAGCAATTTTAGTGATTTGATGGACTAATTTCAAAAAATTAAATATTCAAGGGACCAATATCAGAAAGAAAAAACGATTCCCAAAGACTTTGAAACTAGTCTCACCTTCCTAGCATCACCAAACCTTTGTAGTACATTGCTTTGTCCATAGGAGCATCTGGAACCTTCAGATCAGCAATTCTTTTCAAGTGCTCTATCCCCTCTGGTTTCCTTCCCTGCTTAAATGCAGTTTGTTAATCTATATATAATAACTGTTGCAATATTTCTCGATCGATAAATTTATGCAGGAACTCTAACTTCTTACTGGCTGAATGAAACAAGAAAAGAATAATTTGACTTAAAAAAGTTAGATACAATTTGATCAAACTAATCCAAGATTCACCAGAGAAAATGGAAAGCATGACATCACTATAAAGCTGGGTATTAATAGCTGCAGTCAAACGGTAATGTCATCATGTTATGAGGACTTAACATGTAAATTGTGTCACCTTCAGTTGGCGGATCTAGAAATTTTTTTCCTTGGGGTGGCGGACAACAAGTGACTATTTACCTAAAAATAAAACATAATATAATAAAACTATATAATGTACTGAGAATGCCCTTAGTACACTGTTTATTGGAATTTTAATTACTTTACAATTTGAATTGTTACTAATTAATCCAGTGATTTTAAATTTCTTCGGCTTTGGGTGCAATTTTTAAAGTTCTTTTGTTTGGCGATTTTACTTGAATTTTCATGCAAATATATACATGTCTAGGGGTGTAACTGCACTCCTAGACTGTTAATTGATCCGCCCCTTGTCTTCTTTATGGCAAAAAGGAAGTCATGTGAATAATTGTACTCCAATAACACTCATTACATTATGTTTATATACTACAGCACAAAGTTTACACATTGTATTTGATCAATTGACCTTGTTGATTTACCTGCCATATACGTGAAACACCAGCACCAAAAGTTGCAAGAACCAGCAGAGTATTCTCTTCCTCAAGTTGAATCTGTATACCCACAGGAGTTGAGACATTGGAACTCGTGATAAATTTTAAGTGAGTAAAAAAAACTCCCAGTTTGCTTTTCTTTATGCTTTAGTGAAAAGTATACGAACCTTTGAAATTGCACGTTCAAAACATTCAGCTGCTTCTTCAAATGACTTTCTAGAGCACAGAATCTGTCCCATGGCAACCAAAGCTCTTACCAGCTCAGGGTCTTTCTCGATTGCTATCCTGCTCCAAAGACCTTGTTAGGTTTTTGTTCTTGTGCAGTCAATCCAGATCAGAAAGCGAAAACAGATACGAAATGGCTCTACATAAGGACTGATAGCGGTTTGTCACCTTAATAAAGGAAGAGCTTTATCTTGATGGCCTGCAGCTAAATATTCAAGAGAGACCTACAAAAAATTTCTAAACATGAGAAGGTAAGGTCGTGGTACAAGCACAAAATTGATACATAAACAATGAAATACTTACATCAAGCAACTTCTCAGGAGACACAGTTTCTGCTGGAATATCGCGCTGCAAAATATTGCTTTCTGCAGGAACAACGTGCTCCAAAATATTGCCATTCTCAAGCATAACATCTTTGGCTGGTATCCTTTTCTTTAGGATTCTTTCAGGGGCCAATCCCAACTTATTGCGAATGTATGGATTTTTTAGAGATAATTGCTGCAGGATTTGTTGCTTAGTATAGTGAGAAAAGGTATCAAGAATATTGCCGTCGTTGGATATGCTAAAAGAAAAAGATGCAATGATAAATGGAGATAATTATTGGAATCTCTCTCGCAAAAGTTTTTATTTTTTTAACTACGGCAGTAATGTGACAAAACCACACGAAACAAAATTAAGTAGATATGTACTCAACATCAGGATATCGGGTTTTAGATAGATACATGACAACATCCTGACAAATATGTATGGTGAGTTGCACATATAAGCATTTTAACTGTCCCTTCACTGCATTTTGGGTGCCAGAAGGTAAAAAATCTAGTAAGAGAGATGAGACTCACCTGAATAAGGGTGAACGAATTGTTAGTTGCCCAGTAGATTAGGCTTCCCTGGAAAAGTAAGAAATATTGTGCTAAGGACATTTGTTAACTATAATAAATAAACTACCTCAGCAAGTACAGAAGTCAACTAAAGCCAAAGCTATAATCTGGTAGCCTTCCTACATAAGTTTAATGGTCTTGGTGAATCTTAATGAAATATACACTCTTAATTTCTCAGCAGGGAATTTTAAAATTTCCTCCCTCGCTTGTAGTTAAATTTGACACTTCGATTTTGTGCCATTGAGTCTCAAAATTGAGAGAGTTTAATCCAGAAACAGAGAGTTGGTTGTCAAATATGTTTATCTTCAGAAACAGTATCTCAAATGGCATAGCGTACGTTCCTGATAGGCAATATCGCATCTATGGACATATGCACCTCGACTAGTTAAAACTGAACACAATTGATAAGGAAAAAAATGATATGGAAAATGTTGTTTGAGATGAATAAACAACATACCTGGGGAATATAAAATCCAATAACACATAATGGGATAGCCAGGATGTCCAGATATAACTTGTAATACTGTCAAAGAAATTGAATACCATTGCTCAAAATTTAATGTAACCTTGTAAACCTTCCCCATCAGAAATCTCAAAGTAATGTACATATTAGTAGATGATTTTGCTAGTTTAATACAATAACAGTTCATCCGCTAACAGTAACATTTCCAAGAAAAACATCATGAATAAATGTAATGATAAAGGGAGTAACTCACCTTCGCCAATAAGCCAAGAATTCCGGGCAACGCCGCAGCTTTAATATTTTGAAAAGAAATCTAAAGAAAAAGAAATGCATTGTAAGTTTCCCTATTCGTTATCCATCTGCAATGTAAAACAAAAGAGTAAAAAATCATAAAGTTACGGGAGAAAATGATTACACGCTGAGAAAATAAAGATGGAGAAAATAATGTTCACACATATACCATGATCTTATGCAATGTATATGTCCACATGTATAATTAATCATGTAGACACCTATAAACTCCAAAACTTGAAACCTTTCTCGTCTCTTTGGATCATTATTGACTCTGATAAGAATGATTCTCTATAGCATTCATATTTTATTTAATGCAGCATGGTGCATAGAGAATGTTCAGCAAGATATCAGACATCTTAAAGCAAAATATCATGTTCCTTAGAATTCTTATTATTTTTCTTTAAGTAGATTGCATTCATGTATATCCTAATCCATAATCTAATGAATTATACCAAATGTGTTTCAGGGTGAATTCATACCAAAGTGCAATATCAGTTGCAGACTAAATGCTGTTACAGCATTGATAATTCTATTGGTGTGATAAAGTGCACATTACAAGTTAAATCTTTGACATGTCACAAATATTTAGGAAGTATCATAAGCAAATATGATCAAAGATCCTAAAAAGTCAGTTTAAGAGATCAGCTTTCAAGCCCATCGTAATAAAATCAACACAAGGACTAAATAAGAAGCCAACAAAGGAGAAGAGAGAACCCCACACACACACACAACACACACTAAGGAGAAGAGAGAACCTTTGACATGTCACAAATATTTAGGAAGTATCATAAGCACATATCATCTAAAATCCCAAAAAGTCACTTAAGAGACCAGCTGTCAAGCCCATCGTAATAAACACAAGGACTAAATACGAAGCCAACAAAGGAGAAAAGAGAAACACACGTGCGCATGCATGCGGGCACAAATTTGTTGTTTGGCCTTAAATCCAACTTTATGGAAAAAAAACTATTTATTCTGTATTCTTTGTCATGATCCATGGTACCTACTCAATGTTTACCTAAAGTTTAAATGGGACTGAAAGTAAAGGAGTTATATGCTTGATACAAACAAGTTCAGCCCTTCAACTTATTAAACAGATAAATCTGGAAATAGAAATGTACCAAGTATTGCTGGCGCAAATGAAAGTTAATATAATATAGGACAGAAACACATTCCAGCATTCCGTGTGCCAAAATAATTTAGAATATTTTAAATTTTTAGACTCAATTTTTACGAATGTGTAATATGTAAAGTAATATGTAAAAGTATAGAGCAATAAAAGAGTGAAATGCCCAAATACCTGAACATTGACATAATGCAGACCTGCAATCAAGAGAGGGAAAGTAGGACTCAGAAGACCTTGAGGAAAAGCAGTCAGATCTTGGAACCACAGAGTGCCACCCTGTAGAAAGTAGAAACATAGCAACTTGATGTGCAAATAAGTGGAGAGGATAGAGAAAATGAGAGAAACTGTAAAGTGGAAAGGTGAAGCTCCCAAACATGAGTACCAGGAAAAAACAATAAATGCAAACAGAAAACGTCGACACAATATAGGTTAAATTCATAAGTTAACAACATAAATTCTGCAATCTGGAAAATTGTTAAACTATAACATGAAGATTTGCCACATGATTTATACTTGAAAATGTAAGTTCGCATTTTATGAGCAGAATTACTGTCATACTTCTCCACTACTAATTATCAATTTCAAATCATTTATGTTAATTTTGCATTTTATAAGCAGTACTGTAGTCCTGTTGATTATCAGTGGTACTTACCACAGCAAATCCAATTCCCAATAAATTTTCTATATTTTACGCTTCTAATTGTGGTCCTTGTTCATTTCTTCTCAGAGATTGATGGATTAAAATCCGGAGGAGTTACTTTGAGCTTTATTGCTCCTGTAACAAAAGAAGATATACAGATTATCAAATCCCAAAATTTGATAAGCCGTCAAATTAGGTTATATTCAATCTGCCTTGCATTACTTAGGTTTAGAAAGGCCTTTCCGAGCCTACAATATTCAAACATGCATATAAGTCTAGATCCTTGACATTATTTGCTGCAGAATGTCCCATGTACCCTTAGGCTTAAACATCTTTCCACAAATGGACACAATGATAATCTTTGGGACAAGATGCCTAATAGCTTATGGGCCGGAATATTTTATTTCTTAACATATTGCAATCAATTGCAGGACACAAGTTGATCCATGTCTTGACAATAATACGTAGTGTAGACAGATTAGAGATTGCATCAGTATACCTGTCCCAATCTCATGTGTTATGTTTTAATTTATGAACAAACTACTTGCAATATCTTTACCATCACCATTTGAAGGGAATCTGGTAACTAATGCCAGCGTATAAACAACTTTTCGGTTTCCCATTGTCCCGGAATGAAAAGTGTATTCCCACCGTATCATTTTAACAAAAAAAAAATTCCAATTGGTTTTACCCTTTCCTTACACCTTCTTTTTCTAACTATGCTGTGTGAAAACTCTACCTTCTAGTGGGAGAAAGACATTGATCAGAAAACATTATATTACATAAAATGATAGCCTTACAGAAGTAGCACGACACTTAAACATGATGTAGATCAATAACAAATTTCAATAACATCAAATTCTTTAAAGAAGATATAAGGAATATTTACTTTGTTGAAGTGTATGGCCGTTAGAAACAGTCACCTTCTGCACCTCACGCAGGGAATCTTAAGGAAACAAAGCCCAAGGTTCTAAACAGAACATGCTAGTAGATAGCGATTGGCTATATATCCATAATATAAGGCACTATCATTAAAACCCAGACCATTGATGTAATATCCCGAATTTTCACTTGATTATAAGTATTATATTTTACAATTTCTTTAGTAATTATACAAACTATTTGTATAGTTATATTAATTATGAATATTAGATTACAAAGGACCTTTATGCAATAAGAAAGTTATCTAATATAATTATGTTGGGGGTTATTGGAAATTGATGTTGGTTAAGGGGCTTGGTGCAAATGGAAATTTGTTAAGGGGTTTAAGGTAAATGGAAACGCTAATAAAGGAAAGGAATGAAACCCTAAACATCATTCTTTCATAAGCCGCAGCTAGAAGAAAGCAAAAAGAGAAAATCAAAGAGAGAAGGAAGAACCGGCAAAAGATAAGCTTATTTTATTAGAGTTTATCAAAATCGGAAAAAGTGATCACTCCAACTATTTCGTTTTCACCTCTATGCTCTTGAGCGTTCTTCTCTCGGGATCTTGGCAACCTTTTCCGCTTCAATTGGGTAAATACCTTATCCATCAACAGAGTATATGTTTGTTTTCTGTATAATGATAGTTAATAATAGTTTTGGTTGCGCCCTTGAGCTATGATCTAAAACTATATTAGAACAAGTGGATGCAAATTGTAGTTGAAACAATCACATGACATAAGCAACAATGCATGGTGTGGAAGGAGAAGAAATTATAGGGATCCATCAAATAAATGTAATATTTATTAAATAAGCAACTAAATAGTCAATGTCAATGAGATCTTTAAGCTTTTGTAAACCTGATATAAGAGATATGAGTATAAACAAAAGAGAACAGTCATCAAGTATTAGAAAGCAAGCATTTAAATGTCGGATGTCGGGTCCATGTCGAACGGCTAAAATTCATGTCGGAAAGTGGAAATCTGGGATATGTCGGGGGACATTAAAAAAATATCGGATTGTCATATCAGATGGTGTGCATATGTGTAATATAAATATCATAAAAAAAAATATAAACATACTTAATAAATTATCTTATCTAAACATATAAAAAACTAAATAATTTATGATGCTTGGAGTTGATATTGAAGGAAAGAGGTGAGAAAAGAGGACTTCAATATTGGCGGTTAAGAAGACAGAAGATCGCCCGATATTGATGTCGAATGAATAGCTTGAAGAAGAGACCGATGAGATGTCGAAGGAGAGAGAGGATGAGAGACAAAAATTGCTTCGGTCTTTTTCTCCATTTCCCTTAACTTATCGGTTTTTGTTTTAGAAGTAATATTAAGACAATCAAGAATTTAAACTCAAACCTGATTAGATAAACATAACCAAAAAATAAAAAAAATTAGATAATTTTTCAAACTGAAAAATCGGTCAACATACCCAACATTGCCCCCCCGACATATTCGCCCGACATATCCGACATGTCCCTCGATATGTCCGACATGAACCCTGAAAACGTAATATGCATTGAAAAACTTCATATCGTGTCAGTTAGCCCCTAAATCCGACATTTATAACACTGATACAAAGGTGAGTCAAAGTTTAGTGTAGTTTAAGATATTAATTATTTATTCTTAGTAAGTGTATGATCATGGGATGTTAGATATTGATGGTTCTTAATGTTTATTCTTTAGGGGTTTCAAGTGACTTCGAAGAGGCATTGAGTGGTATTTCGATTGTCTTTCGCATTTGTGGTAAGTGGTGAATTTATGCATTTTGCGCTGCGTATTTTTCGTAAAAATTATGTTGAGTATATGCGAATTTGTTCCCGATGGTTTGTCTTTTTGTGTGATTTATTCGCATATTTTTGTTGATTGGACCTGATGCACATGGATAGTTTGGTATAAGTGTATGTTTATTTCTTTGTTGACAATCATGTCTTTTCATATAGAAGTAAGTTGAGATGCATATGTGATTGTTTAATTTCACTATTGGTTGGCCTTTGGTAATTCTTTATAAAGTATTTGGTTATATGAACTTTGTTCATTTTTCTTAGAGTATATGCATCTGAAGTCAATATATCAGTATATGTCGGAGATAAGTAAGTCATCTTAACAGGGCTCAATGTGCCTCTATGAGGTTTTTATTTTAGCGCTAAGAGTCAAATTTGGGTCTCACCATTTTCGGAACCACGGACTTAATAATTGTGGGGTTTACCGAGTCAACTAGAGTACCTCAATGAGATGTGACCTACTTATTCTCCATCTCATAAAAATTTTATTTTAAAGATATTGTATTAAGTTTGTAAGCTCATTGATGATTTTTTTATTATTTTAATATTTTGCTTATCAAGTCAAAGTATTCTAGTTTTTGCAAACTAGTGTTTAATGTATAAATTTATCCATTTATTGAGTTGTAAAATTATTTTGTATTCATTCTTTTCAGAGACTCAGGATTAGGTGGAATTGATGATTTTCAAATTCTTTGAGGGAAGCAATGAATAAAAATTTGTAGATTGTTATTTTCTTCTAGGTCAAGGTTAAATAAAGTCTTTGATGTTTAATTGGTATTTGAAAGTGTTGTAATAATGATATTTTCCCCTTTAGGATGAGTTTTATTTCAAGTTGAGGAATATTTGTTATCTCAAATTAATTGGATAAATATTGACTTTTGGATTATAGAGAATATTTGTTGTTGGTTTTAATTCAATGATGAGATTATTTTGGTGGTCTTTTGATGAATGTAGATTTTTAGAGGACTTTTCACAGATTCAATCCCACTCTAATATCCCTTCTAGGTTTGAAAATTAGGGTCGTGACAATTGTTGAGTGATAACAATTCAATAGGAGAATTGGATTCCTGAAACAATAAATAATTAAAGCACTGCTTCGATGTAGGATTTGTATTTTGGATTTATGACAATGTCAAAGATTTTAGAAATCTTCAATTATTCAAAATTTTAATTTCATGTTTGTTTTATAGGATAGTGGATTGAAAAATTAGTTTTGATTAAAGAATTTTAAAATTGCTTGTTTGTTCGTAGGAATAGTGTTAGAATTGGATAGTGTTGTACAAGTCTAATCAATAATTAAATAGATTTTTTCTATACTTTTGACGCTTTTTACAATTATTTGGTAATTGTTAAATAACGTGGGGCCCACTTTTCATAAAATCCAACCAAGATCGTAGCTATCAGCAGCGATTACTGACAACTGAAAAATCCGATGTAGACCTGTCACGTCAAGCCTAAATTCAAATCTAAAATTGGAGAACCAAACACCTTTTGCCTGTTGGGGATTTGATTACCTGACAAACTCAGACGTAGGCCCCCACCTTTTGGGTGTAATTCTTGCATAATCCCGCTAACCAAACAGCCCCTAACCAAAGAATGCATTTTTATGCGTCAGTTGGATTAAATCATAACCAAAATAGTAGTGACTATCCAATTTGTTCATTTCCTCTGAAACCTTTCCTTTATGTATTAAGACTGGTTTTGGGGGTCCAATTATTGTTTAGGACCCTAAACACAGACAATAAATAGGGTAGATGGTTGACAAAGCAGAAGGCTCTTTTCAGTCAAACACAACAGAAGATACAATCACCAGACAGTCACTAGATTGATTGAGTTCACAAAGCTGAAGCTAAATTCTGACTATCCATATGTAGTATTGAGTTCATTATCATTAACCAAAAAAAGCATGAGAACAAAGTGGCAAGATTTGAAAAGAACAAAAAGATCTCCATAAAGCAATTAAAACAAAAGGTTAAGCATTCCCAAGTCGATGCTAAGTGTCTGATCGAAACAAGATATGCAGCTTTTTTCCTGACAAGTTACAGCATACATTAGAAAGGAGTGTATTAAATTCAAGTTGAATTGAGGCTCATGGTATGGAAAATATATGCATGTACTGAAACTATGTACAAAATTTGAGGTGCTGAAACTACGTACGCACTTACACTATCTAACCCTGGGTGATGGTCCAGGCACATCCTCCGAATGCTAGTCATCCCTAACAAAAAGCATGGAAACTGAAAAACAATAAGATAACACAAAAGCAACATCACTAAAAAAGCTAATAAAGTTGTCTTAATGTTAAGAAAGAATGCAATTTTCAAAATTATTCCATTATTGAAATTGAAATAGATTTGTAACGAGATGAAATCACTAAGCAATTTTCAGACACGTCAAATATTAAATGAGTCAAAAAAAAAGATGCATGTCAAAGTACAAGGGAAGAGATTTTTGTCAAAAATGTATACAGTCACACAAAAACAAAACAATGATGTGATGGCAAAACATGGCAGTGTCCGTTAGTATTCTCCATTAAATATGAAGCTATATTCTGGGTGATAATATAGCACAGCAGCTTAGCAACTTCCTTTTGTTGATAAGCTGAAGATCGATTGACCAATAGATCATGGTGGAACTTTAGCAGCAGGAGCAACGAAAGCAATACTAGAAAAATATTGTAAATAGCTCTGACAGATATAACCTCATTAAGAAATAAAGAGAGCCCATCACATCCAGAGTGACAGTCTCAGAATCATCCAGGATGACCATATGTTCCAGTTCTAGAGAGCCCTCTATAGAAAACAACAATACTGGTGTCACCGTATGTTCGAGTTGCTGTGGTTTGGGTTTCATTATTAGAGAAGAACTGAATTTTGGACTTAATCATAATGTGCAAAGAATTCAGTTCATCAGTTGCAACTAACCGTCAGTAAAAAATGCTACTAACAAATTAACTTACCTGGACGGTAAAGAATGCAAAACTCCACAAATATGACGGGCAACCAAGTTCTCGTCTTCGTTTTTGGAAGAGTGAATATTGTTCTCGGTAGCTTCTTCCTGATAGAGGTGGTGGCAGTGGAGGAGGCACTTAAGAACATACATGTCAAACCAAAAAAACATTTTCCAATGAACAAGAAAGGTAAAGATGAAATAACAATACTTAATCGAAATTTCCTTTATTTAGGATTAAAGTTATATTATTATTCCAATATTCTGCATCACGAATAAAGTAGGCAAGAGCTCATACCAGATAAATCAGAATCATCATCAACCATATGTGAATAAAAGCCAAAACCAGCTCTACCTCTATTGCACTAAACTAGTAACATTATGAGATGCAATAACAGTTGTTCTGCAAAGTGTAATACATTGTTGAAACATGTACACTAACTATCCCTGCAATTGGCTATGCATTATATGAGTCAATATGACTTATTTAAACAGTATACGAATACCTAATAGCAATATCCCAAAAATTAGACCTCAGGAGCATTAGGGATCATCTACCATCCTGATGATGTTATATTGGTGGCATTCACCAAAAAGTAGGCAATAGAGCAATAGAGAAGATGGTAAAAGAAGAATATATATCCATCAACTTTCTACAGATGATCATCGCCCAGTGTTGATGATGTTATCATGGTGGTATTCACCAAAAAGAAGTAGGCAATACAGCAATAGAGAAGATGGTAAAAGAATAATAGATATCTGTCAACTTTCTACAGTTCCGGTTCCACCAAGCAAACTAAAAGAGACTCAAAACCCTCAGGGAATGCTCATAACATGTTAGTCCTAAGTCATCTCAGAATTGGAAATTGAGACGTCATGATATCCTCAAAGCATTTGCAGTTAGCATTTACCACCTAGGTCTTACTTGGATTAGAGTTAACAGTACTTACTGTAGGCATCGAAAATTGCCTATAGGTCTCCACGAACAGCTCAGTGTTAAGAAATGACGATGAACGTCATAGGTCTCCACGAACAGCTCAGTGTTAAGAAATGACGATGAACGTCACCATCTGGTTCACAGAAGCTTGGTTGATGTCGGTGAACGCTTGAAGTAAACCGACGAACTACGTGAAACAACGGAACTTCGGAATGATGAAGATATGAACCGATCGGGAACATCGTATCGTTCACAAACGGTGAAATACCATTCGTATCTCATTTATTCCGCGGATGATTTAATCATTGGAGCTTATAGAACTCCCCGTCGGCTTTCCAACGCACTTTAAATCACTCAAATCCGAGTTCGGGCGAAGAATTTACAGCGGAAACAATCAAACAGGCATAACGAGAGTCTCAGGCTAAACTGAGACACCCGAAGTGTCTCGGTCAAGGCCGAGACACCCTTGGGTGTCTCGGCCCTGATTGAGACACCCAAGGGTGTCTCCAACTCAGATTCGTCCCGTGCCTATAAATACAAGCCCCGGAGCCTCATTTTTTGAGATCTGGAATTCTCGTGCCTCGGCGAAGCCCTGCCGGATTGAAGACTTAAAGTGCACAGATTTCAGAGTGGAGGAGGAGTTAGATCTGCAGCCCGGTTCGTTCCTTAGGATTATCCCGTTGCGGTAATCTTAAGAAGAGTGATTATCTCGCTTCGCAGAGATAAGAGCTACGGTTTCTCGATCCCTTTGCGGATAGACGAAGCTCTGCCTAATTTTTCAGCAATCAGATCTGATCGACAGTGGTCCACGGATAAACCCCGGCATAGGCAAAGATCCACGCAAGCAGAAGACCGATAAACGATCTCTGCGTTTGTTTGATAAAGTTGTAAACTTTTTATTTTCATTGTGTAAGGAGATCTTATAAAAAGATCAACTTTTTATTTCATTCGAGTTTATTGTAACGACTAAAGTTGTAATAGACCCAGGAGATCCGTCGGTCTCCAGAACTAAAGAACCAAGAAATCGATCTCCCTGTAGCCGATGCTACAGTCGTACCTTGCAACGGTCCGCCGGCATCCAATGAGACCAGATCTGCAGATCTGAACTCCTTCACGATTAAGGAGTCGACTGCTGAAGGCGCGCCAACTCTATCAAAGAGAGCACGTCAAAGGAAACGACAACGCCTCGCGCGCCAATTCGCCAAGGCTTTGGATCAGATGGATGGACTCCATTACCAAACAGATCTGGAACTCAGAAAACGCCAAGTGGCTAATCTGTCGCCACGACCAGCATCGGAATCCTCCTCTCGATCTCCAATTAACGAATGGGTTCATGTTAAAAGAACCCGCTCTACTCTCGAGGAGCGAATCCAGAAGCGCCGCGCCTTGCTTACGCATGCCCGGACCCTTATGCGAAAAGCATAGGAAATGCAAAAGGAAGAGGCAGTTAAGAGATCGCCGAGATCCAAACAAGTTTGGGTGCCAAAAGCCAAATCAGCGCCTAAGGCAAAAGCAGGCGACGTTGCTCTCCGGCCTTCGTCAACTCCAGACCCTGCTCCCGCACTTCCGGTGAAGCTCTATGACAACGTGGATCTCCCCAAAGCTAGAGTCCCATTGAAGGATCGCATCGGTTCTCTACCCGAGGATCAAGGAAAAGCGTCTGTTAAGGAAAGTTTGAGACCGTTAAAGGAGCTTCGAGCCAACATCCGGACTGGGGGTCGTACGCGACCTCCTAACAAATTAATTTCTACAACGGCCCGCTCGGAGGTGCGCGCAGAAAATCAGGAGCTCGTTAAGGTTTCATCCTCACAAAGGTGTGATTCCAAGCGTGTGACTCCTGTAGACGCCAACAAGGCGATGTTTACTCAGAGGAAAACGCGTCAAACAGAAGAATGCGTTATACCTGAGAATTTATGTAAACAGCCGATAGGTTGCTCTGACCGCAACGTCGATGAGTTGTACTATCGGGCTGGGGGTACGAATAAATCTCGAAAGAGAAGTACCCGAAAAACGGACTCTCACTGTCCGTGTATCAAAATTATCAGGGCAGTATTATCAGCATGTAGCTGCCCCAAGACCGCTCCGCAGAGGGTCTCGATATTTGAGAGGATCTCCAACGAAAAGGCTAAGTCCAATCAAAAGCGTCTCCGTAAGAAACGATCGGTCGTTCAAGGTGATGAACCCCCAAAGGTTACCATCAATATGGTTGACAAGGAAAAATCGATTCAACCTTCTAGCTCTGATCCGCTTGTATCGCATCGTCTAACCCGGTTACGATCAGGAACTATTAGACAAAGGGATTATCAGAGAATGCAGAGAGGGTTATCCTCGGATGATGAAGCATCGGATGCTAACTCGGCAATCGCTTCTGATAATACGGTATCCAGTCCGGGACAATCCCGAGCAAATAGCCAAAATCATTGAGGATGCTCTAGCCAAGCAGAAAGAGGCATTCAAGATTGAGATGAAAATGGCTATGCAGGAGATGAGACAAATGCACGACCAACAAATTCGAGCTTTGTCGAATCAGCTAGGTGAGTCCAACCATCGCAGCACTGCTAACCAAGCAGGTAGCGATTCAGATGTGGATGAACACAACGCTGGGAGTGATCCCACTAAGGATAATAATACTGGGGGTGGTCCCACCAAAGATGACAATGCTGGGGGTGGCCCCGTTATTCCTCTCAGGAATTGTCCAAAACAGGATATAGATAAGGACAAAAAGATGAAGGACCTCGAGAGCAAAATTAACGCTTTAATGTCTGCTCAAGAGGTAAAGAAGACCGACATTCCGTGTCCTTACCCAAAAGAGTGGGATTCGATCCCGTATCCGGCGAAGTTCAACCTACTTCAAGTCCCATTTGGGTATGATCTCCGGTAATGAAGCCTTGATGGTTCGGTCATTCGTTGGCATCCTTCGCGGGCCTGCTTTCGATTGGTACCGCTGTCTCAAGCCCGGAATCATCAACAGTTGGGAGGACCTGGAGAGCATGTTCCTCACTCATTTCTTCGATGATGACGCTGAAGTGTCGATCAGGACACTCTTCGATGAGAAACAAAAAGACGGAGAGTCGGTGGATACCTTCATCAAACGATTCCGCAATCAGGCAATGAACTGCAAGGATCCCGTCACGGAGGAATTCGTCTTGCAAACCTGTCATAACAACTTGTCCATTAATATCTTGAACGTTATGGGAGTAGAGCCGCTCAGTACCTGAAAAGAGTTAAAGGTGCGCGGCGAGCAGGCCGAACGCTTCCTCAGAAGGAGGAAGGTAGAAAGAAGCCAACCGATGACTTACCCTCTGAATCCGAATCTCGTTTCCCATGATGAAGGGAAAGCACCTACAACAGTTGTTGACGTTAATCAGACGTCACAACAGCAGCCCCGAAGACAGCAGAAGACTTCGGATTCGAGGCTTCAAAAAGAGTACTCAATCAAAGACGAAGACGTTCCAGCCATCTTCGAGACCCTTCTTGAAAATAACAAGATCAAGCTGCCACCCATCACAAATCAGGAGGAAGCTGACAATACTACGGATCCGAAGTACTGCGCGTACCACAGGAGGGTCCTTCATCCCACCAAGGCTTGCTTTACTTTAAAAAATAGCATTTAGACCTTGGTTGAAGCCGGCGTCATAACGCTGGGATAAGCCAAACGAGAACGGTAACACTCCGAAGAGTATACGAGTATAAACTGCTTCTCAAACACTCCGACAAGTATAAGAGTATAAACTGCTTCTTAACCCTCCGACCGGTATAAGAGGTTAAACTGCTCCCTGATACTCCAATTGGTATATGAGTCTAAACTATTTCCTACCGTTGACGGGAAGTTCCTGAAGAATTTTTATATGTAATATTCTTAAGGATAACCCGATCATGTAACCGAATGCAATGATAAACCCAGTTTCACGAAGAAGCTGGGGGTGGATGATTCATGTAACGGGAAGTTCCCGGAAGAATACTATATGTAATTTTCTTAGGGATAACCCGATCATTACAAATAAAGTGATAAACACTAAACCCACCGTGATTTCCAAACACTCTTTTGTTGAGACGAGATTCGATCACTTCATTAGATCAATCTTTCCTCACAAAATCCCCATTGATGTTTGAAAACTCACAGTCTTTCACCACAAAATCCCCCACCGATCAGACTAATTGACGGTGGGACCACCAAAATTCCTTCGGTTGAATCCACTCAAACACTCGTTACGTCTGTGCACTCAACACTCCCATTGTTAGAGTCTGGACATAATACTTAGTATTTTAATATCCTGATCATTGACAATCGTTAAACCCCTCCGCGTTAAGTATTTATTACTTAACACCAGGAACCCCCTCTGAGTGACTTGTACAAGTCAACACTCCCATTATAATTTGTACTCTCACTCCCACTTGGTCAAACCTTCCTACAGTTAGAACCACAACCAAAATCTCCTCTTGATTCCTCCAATGAACGAGAGATCCACAAATCGAGCGATCAGACATTCCTACAGTTAGGATCGTCTCAAACATCCCCCTCGGTCAAACCTTCCTACAGTTAGGGCCAAAATCAAAATCCCCTCTTGATTCCTCCAATGAACGAGAGGTCAACTTTCAAATCGAGTGATCAAACCTTCCTACAGTTAGGGTCATCTCAAACTCCCGCTTGGTCAAACCTTCCTACAGTTAGGACCAAAATCACAATTCACTCTCGATAAATGAGAAATTTATCTTCAGTTCGGTAATCAAACCTTCCGACAGTTAGGGTTATCCGAATCTTTTCGATTCTCGGAGTGGAGATCCCACTCCTAGTTTTACCTTTTCGGATTCTAGGGGTGGAGATCCCACCTCGAGTCTCCTTTCCAACTGGAGATAGAATATAAAATTCTCCCTCTTCGGTATTGGGAGATAGAATATAAAATTCTTCCTCTCCCATTTCGGGTTCGTCTTTGCCCCAAGAGAAGATACCACTTTTTCAACTCCTAAAAATCCGTACCTCACAGGTACGGGGAATTTTATCTCGAATCCTAAGAAGGGATAAGTCAACGCCTAATACGCGTTGCCGGTTAGTGCTTAACCGTAAAAAGAACAAAAGCTCACATATTCAATATTGTGGCAAGTTGTTATTAATAACACCAAAATCCGTGTTTCACACGCACGGGGAATTTTATCCTGAATCCTAAGTAGGGATAAGTCAACGCCTAACACGCGTTGCCGGTTTAGTCTTTCTCCGATTGAAGAAGACACCAGAATTCCAGTCTGGAAAATTTTATCCTGAAGCCTAAGTAGGGATACGTCAGCGTCTAACACACGTTGCCGGGTAGCCTATTCCCGTAACAATGGCGAAGCCTATGTATTCAACATCATAGCACAAAGTCTAAGAGAACTCACTCTCTTAGCACAGCGTTACAATCCACATACTAGCCCGACTCAAACGGTAGTCGGTACTCTTTTAGCTTAACGTCACATGCGGAACGGACTTAAACAATCTGCATGCTAGCCCGACTCAAACGGTAGTCGGTAAAGGCCCATCAAACCCGTTGATGGCTGAGGATTTGCCAAAAATTCTATAAATGCGAGTCATTGACGCACCAGCTCCATTAGTTGGTCTCGTGACTTGAGCATCCAACAACTTCAGGATAAGATCTATACATGCAGATGAATCAGCTTTAACAGTTGGTCGTGCAGCTCCGACATTTGGGATCACCATGCTCCAATACCTTAAGAGCTTAAACTGTGTATGCTCCAGCAAACGTACGAGTATAAACTGTGTCAACGTCAAGCGATCCGAAACCCTAGGTCAACGTCGGTCAACGCGTAACCCTAGGTCAACACCAGTCAACGCGTTGCGATCAAAAAGTCAACGTACGACGTTCGAAACCCTAGGGTCAATGCCGGTCAACGCATAACCCTAGATCAACGCCAGTCAACGCGTTGCGATCAAAAAGTCAACGTACGACGTTCAAAACCCTAAGATCAACGCCTGTCAACGCGTAACCCTAGGTTAACGCCAATCAACGCGTTGCGTGCAAAAAGTCAATGCTATTCAATATATCATGACAGAGATAGTCAGTTCAAAGTCAACTCGATGACACGAGCCAAACTCAACTCATCAGTTTTAGATTTAAGACTTCGACGACGGCCAGACGATAAACGCGACGTCGGAAGGATTTCAGCTATTCGTCAAAGCATCGAATAGACTGAAAATCGAAGGAGTCAAGAATCGAAGCTAACTACAGGTCCTTTACGCCGACTGAAGGCTGGACCAATCATATCCAAAGTATTTCAGCCTCTTCTATAAAAGAAACGAGTTTGGAACGCTTTGGAGGGGGTATCTGTAGGCATCAAAAATTACCTATAGGTCTCCACGAACAGCTCAGTGTTAAGAAATGACGATGAACGTTACCATCTGGTTCACAGAAGCTTGGTTGATGTCGGTGAACGCTTGAAGTAAACCGACGAACTACGTGAAACAACGGAACTTCGGAATGATGAAGATATGAACCGATCGGGAACCTCGTATCATTCACAAACGGTGAAATACCCTTCGTGTCTCATTTATTCCGCGGATGATTTAATCATTAGAGCTTATAGAACTCTCTGTCGGCTTTCCAACGCACTTTGAATCACTCAAATCCGAGTTCGAACGAAGAATTTACAGCGGAAACAATCAAACAGGCATAACGAGAGTCTCAGGCTAAACTGAGACACCCGAAGTGTCTCGGCCCAAGCCGAGACACCCTAGGGTGTCTCGGCCCTGATTGAGACACCCAAGGGTGTCTCCAACTCAGATTCGTCTCGTGCCTATAAATACAAGCCCCGGAGCCTCATTTTTTGAGATCTGAAATTCTCGTGCCTCGGCGAAGCCCTGCCGGATTGAAGACTTAAAGTGCACAGATTTCAGAGTGGAGGAGGAGTTAGATCTGCAGCCCGGTTCGTTCCTTAGGATTATCCCGTTGCGGTAATCTTAAGAAGAGTGATTATCTCGCTTCGCAGAGATAAGAGCTACGGTTTCTCGATCACTTTGCGGATAGACGAAGCTCTGCCCAATTTTTCAGCAATCAGATCTGATCGACGGTGGTCCACGGATAAACCCCGGCATAGGCAAAGATCCCACGCAAGCAGAAGACCGATAAACGATCTATGCGTTTGTTTGATAAAGTTGTAAACTTTTTATTTTCATTGTGTAAGGAGATCTTATAAAAAGATCAACTTTTTATTTCATTCGAGTTTATTGTAACGACTAAAGTTGTAATAGATTCGATAACAATGAAAACATCAACTTTCACCGCAAACACTTACACCAAAAAAAAATCTAAACTGCCCTTTCAAGAATCAAAACTTAATATGGGGTGTTAGTCCCAAATCATCTCAAACTTCGTGAGATGAAATTAAAATATTATTTCCAATATTTGTGATTACCATTTATAAACATGGTACTAGAATGCCACGTTCCCAAATCAAAGTTACAATGATAACTCGCACACCAAGTGACTTAAGAACTGTCAAATACCGTAATCATAAGGAATGCACATGAACATGCGTGAGAATAAGAATGCACATTACTATAAGTGAGAATAGAAAGATCAAGTAGAAGTGTAGAACCCATATGATCCCCTGGAGCACGAATTAGTTTCAAGTAATCAAAGGGAATCATTTATCAACAACAAACGCCCATGCCATGAAAACCGAAATTTTCAGACATGAAGTTGCTTACATTTTGGCATGAACTCCGCGAACTTGTCCATTTTCTTGAGCTGAAGAACAAGCCAAGGAAACAGACACGCCCTAAATGCCAAAGTCGACCCAGAGATCACCAACCACCTGTAATCACCTCAATATCATCAGAATTGCATTCTCTCAATCCACAAGATGGTCTTTTTTGAAAAATTACCATGGGATGCCGGTGAGATCATGAACTCCGTCCATCATCCAAATCAACGAATCCTGAAACGGGGAATACCAAGACCTATCCAGACTCGAGTCGCTGGGCACCTCGAGTCCACTATCGGATCCAGTAACCCAGCTCAGACCAGACCCCGTATCAGCGCTCTTTAGCTCGTCACCCTGGAGGACCTCCGAACCACCAAAACCTAACTCCGGCGGTTCCTTCACCGGTGAGGTATCGGATCCGCCGGTCGGACTGAACTCCGACGCGGTTTCGGATCCTGTATCGGGTTTCTGGGATCGGGACCAGGGGATCCAAGAGAAGGATCGGAATGGCGAGAGATTGCTAGGGTTTGGGTTTCTCGATGGTCGATGGCCGCCTAAGAGGACGGGAGAATGGAGAGGAGGGAGACGATTAGGGTTTTGAATGGCGAGAGCGGGGGAGAGAGGGCGGCGGCGGTTCCGGCGGAGGACGTGGCGGCGGAAGAGCTTGGCGGTGGGGCCCATGAGGACGGCGGCGAAGTTTCCCGCTAAGAAATTTGGGATGCTGGGAGTCGGTTTTTTGTAACCCGAGCTTTAAACGCGGGTACGATTGGCGTTCGGATCTCACCCGTTCCTCCGATAGGAAGTAAACAGCTATCAATTTCAAATCTGAAGCAGTGGGGCCCGCCCCCTGTTTACCTCTCTGCGAGTTGAGGGAACCGCGAGCCAAATAGCAAAGTTTAATCTGAATAGACACGACCCTAACGGACCTCATGAATTATATTTTTTTATCTAAATTATATTAAAATTTTTATTATTGGGCCAACTAAAACGAATAGCATTAATCCACATAACTAATTGTAGGTATTCTCTACAACTGAGGTGGTTACAGTTGTAGGATCTAAACTCGAAAGATGAAAGTATCAGCATAAAACAAAGTTGCTTATTATGTGTGTTTCTTGGATTTTCTTTTTTAAAGAGTGCTTATTGTGCCTATTTTTTGGAAATTAATTTGCGGTATCAAACGCAATTGAAGAAAGTCTATGGTAAGAAAACAAGGTGCCATAATGACGGTGCACTCTTCACAAGTATACAACTACACAAAATGGAGTGGTTCCATACATGATGTTGTTTGTTTAACAGATCAATGGCATGACAATTAATGGTATGATAGTGTTGCTTTGCATTTTTGTTCACCATATTTTATCAATTTTCCTGTTTCCCTCCTAACCTAAAAAATTCCATACAGCTTTCCTGCCAACCCTTTTTACCTTTTTTATTCTTTAGAATTGAAAAATCATTTGATTTTACTGTAGAAAACACAATAAATACAAATAATACAGGTACGTCATCAATCTGTTAAGGGGCTGTTTGGTTCGTTTCCTTGATATAGGGAAATGCAATTCCATGTAAAGAAATATAAGTTTTGAGTTTTCCAAACTTTTCCAAGAAATAGATTGTTTTGCTTTGGTTCGCACATAAAAAATAGTGAGAAACCAATGTATTTATTTTTCTTGTGTTTGGTTCGCATAGAAAAAAAGGAAAACTTTTGTAAACAAAGCAAAGAAGGAAAAAAAAAAATCTGACGTGGCGGAGTTTTCATCAATTTCACTCGGTTGGGGAAGGAAATCGGAGAGGGAAAAAATCTGAGTTGACGGCGATTTCAGCAGAGTTTTTCCTCTTCCATCCGAGCGAACCAAAGCGGTACAAAGAAATGGACGGAAACAAAAAAACTGACCTCTTCCATCCGAGCGAACCAAAGCGGTACAAAGAAATGGACGGAAACAAAAAAACTGACGTGGAGGGGTTTTCTGAGTTTTCCACCCCTTATAATAGAAAAAAACTGACGTGGAGGGGTTTTCTGAGTTTTCCACCCCTTATAATAGCGAACCAAACAGCCCCTAAGTATTTGACTATAGGCTAAGAAAATGACTGTATTGCACACGTACACGGATTAACTGGAAATAGACAAACAGATACTTTAAGAAAGAAATTGAGAATTAATCAATAATTGAAACGAGAAATGAGATTATGTAATTTCGCTAAGGGTTGAAGGATGTACCTTTTAATAATTTTAATGGATTCCCACCAAATCTAGGATTACGGTCAACGTTTTATTTACTTTAGTGTATGCCAAGCTAGATAGCAAATGCCTACTTATTACCCATCACATTGCAAATTTGTGTCTTAGTGAATAATGTTAGAACGTATTTCATACAATATCTCTTGTTTGAGTAATAACAGACTCTAATTCGGTACTAATGATTGTTTAATATGACTAGTATAATGCACGTGCTTTGCACGTGGATATGTTGTTGTATTTAATATTATATTATTTAATAAATTATATATAACCATTAAAAAATATTTTATTGCACTATGATTAAATTTTCTTTAACTTATACTAATATTAGTACTTATAATATTATTAACATACATTTAATAGTTATTTATTTTTTTTATTATACTATTAAACAATTATTTAGGAGTATAATTATTAAATAATAATGTAATCATTAGTTTAAGTAACACTATTGATATAATTAAACCATTTAAATTATTAAATATTTATGTCATGTACATATTTTATTACAATATCTATTAAATAATGGAAATAATTTTTAATATTATATGACATTATGTTATAAAGAATATTACATTGTTTAATAATTAATATCATCTTAGTAATAAAAAATTGGATGGTATAAATTAAAAATACTATTATTTAGAAAAAATATTTTATATAAAAATATTGGATTCTTGAAATATATGAGACATTTACTTTCCAACAAAAAGTGCATGACTCATAAATTGCAAAGATCCAATATTTTATTGCACTTTATTAATTTTGTTATCATTATAAATTATTAGAATATTCTAGCGAGTGGCCAAATATTTTGAAGAAAATAAGAGAAAAATATATGTCTCATAACTTTAAAGGATCCAAATTTTTTATATACATTAATTTTCTAAAATAAAAGTATTTTTAACTTATAAAATCCAAATTTTTATTACTAAGATGATATTAATTATCGAACAAGGTAATATTCTTTACAACATAAATAAATAACCCATATTTATACTATTATTAATAGTTATAATTATGTGCAATAATTTATTAAATGAATGGCGTTTACTATTTTATATAATTAATAATTATTTATAATAAATTATCATATGTTCATGAATTTTGTTATCATTATAAATTATTAATATATTCTAGTGAATAACCAAATAATTTGAGAAAATGAAAAGGTGCATAGTTAATGAGAGGTTATGGATCATTAATTTTATAATTAATGGTATAATTTTGAGTTATAAAAAATTGAGGGGGTAAACAAGGAAATCAAAAGTTTTGACATGGGTATTCTCTTTTATAAGTAGTATAGTATAGAAGATATATCATATACTACATGTAAAATCGGATATACGAAGGTTACCATGTGGCGAAATGACACACAAAAAAACATTTAAAATGATTTCAACCTATTAACCATCAATGGTCATTGAGGACCCATTAATAGTCAAGACAATCATCAATGAAGTACAATGAACAGTCGTATAATTCGAGAAAGTTAATCTTGAACCATCGACAGTCTAAAGCGACCCATCGATTGTCACCACATCATCGATAGTGTACAATGGCCAATTGCAGATTTTCAGAAATTCAAAAATAAATCATCGATGATTTACAACCCATCGATGGTTTTAAGCAATTGTCGATGGTGAAATAACTTTTGGCAGATCTAAAGAGTTAATCACAGTCGTTCATTGATCACTTTCATCTCTAACTCCCACTATGATATGGATATTTATTAGAGGCTATATAAGATTGAAAGAGATATTTTTTTTAGGTAGGATTCTAGGGTATGAAATAGAGAGAGTTTTTTGGAGAGAAGTAGAATGGACATTTTCTAGGGATTATAAGAAGAAGTTTGTATTGGAGATTTGAATCAACAAACTCTTTCTCGCCACACTCAACATCTTCGGATCGCCTTAGCTAGGAGAGCTTCCCTTGGATTCATTATCTACGTTATTCCTCATTGAGTTTTGCTTCAATCTTTTGAAGAATAGTTTGCTAATCAAAAGGTCTGTAAGATCTTTCTTTATGATTAAATTATTTTTTGTAGTTTGTTTCAAACTTGTTTTTACGACTTTCTCAAGCTGATGATAATTAAGGACTGAGACTAGTTAGGCTAGGTGTTATTTGTTGTGGAGAGTAAAATGACTAGTTTTGAGTAGATTTCAGGGTATGGTTTTTATAAGTCTATTCAATCAGGTTGTAATTCAGGAGAACCACATTCATAAGAATGAAGAGTAGATATAAGATTATTATCAACACCACTATAAAGATCTCGATCAAGAATTTGACTTAGGTATCAGAGTGGCATTAGTGGATAAAACTTCTGGCTTCACCACTACAATTCACGGTGCACTATCTAACAAAAAAAGTTCTAAGAATAAACAATTATATAGAAGATATCCAAACGATATGTGCAACAATAATATTTTTATCAATATTTAAAAATATTATTATTATATATATTGAATGTACAAGGGCATATTATAACTGCTCTAGCAATCGGTGAGTCATATAAGCTTCAATATGTAGAGCTATCAACTTTCTTCCATGATTTTCCTCCTTTGGTCTTTATAAATCCTTTTTCAGTTGTACACATCTCAAGCATTGAAACTCTGAGCGCATGCCAAAAAAAATTAAACACAAAGAATTTGAAAACATATTTAAGGTATCGAAAAAGTCCACTGAGGGGAAACATTCGCACTTAGGTCAACAACAACTACATAAGGTATAATCGCAACAAGTAGAATCGTAGGAGGACTATTGGCAACAAATAGAACTACATGCGGGTCTCTTCACAACTGGGTAATACTTCAAGGGGTTTCTATTCGCTATTAATTAAGCCTTCAAAAATTTAGCCCTCCCCCTGAGTGTGAAGGCTCAATGGTAGGAAAAAATTTGGCGGCGACAAAGCGGACAGGATGACTGTAACGTCCACTAGTCGATATAGTCGATATGAAACATATGAGCGCAATTGAGCAACACTCTGGCCCTCTCTTTGGCCTTCAACTCCTCCAAACAAATCGCACAGCCATCCGCAGATTTATCTCCCTCGCCCTCCTCGACAACGATCGCCCCGCCAAGTTCCCGTATATTCTTCAAGTACTACTCGATCTCAACGATGACAGAAGCAATACGAGCATCAATAGCTGTAGGAGAAGGAGAAGAAGGGGAGGTAACAGTGGAAGAATTATTATGCTGACGGTGTCTGCGTTTTACGCACCACTCTACGAGGATGAACAAGGTGAAAAACATAACAACGAAGGCAACATCACCGATGAGGAGTCGGATAATGTCGGACCGCGACATGATGAACCATAGAGAGGGGGGGAGAGAGAGAGAGCAGTTAATGTACAAAGAGGAGAAGTGAGGTTCCGAGTTCTCTAATGATTAAACATAGGAAATACGATCAGGATTAGGAATCACATGCCCACTAGGATTAGGGATCAGTGATTACGTGCCCAATGATGAATAGGCTCTAGATCCTCGCTTATGAGGCTTTTTATCACGTCGTTAAAGACAATTTA